TTGATGGTTTCTTTGCTATGCAGAAGCTTTTTAATATGACATAATCCTGTTCATTTTTGCTTTTACTTCCCTTGTCTTTGGGCTCAAGTTCACAGAAACCCCTCTGAGACCAAGGTCCATAAGTTTAGTATCTATGCTTTATTCTATGTCTTTTATTGTTTCAGGACTTAATATGTTCAAGTCTTTAATCCATTTTGAATTAATTTTTGTGTATGGTGTCATATACAGTCTAGTTTCGTTCTTTTGCATATGGCTTTCCAGTTTTCCCAACACCATTTATTTATTTTTTAATATATTTTATTGATTTTTTACAGAGAGGAAGGGAGAGGGATAGAGAGTTAGAAACATCCATGAGAGAGAAACATCCATCAGCTGCCTCCTGCACATCCCCTACTGGGGATGTGCCCGCAACCAAGGCACATGCCCCTGACCAGAATCGAACCCAGGACCCTTCAGTCTGCAGGCCGACGCTCTATACACTGAGCCAAACCGGTTAGGGCCCAACACCATTTATTGAAGAGACTTTCCTTTGGCTACTTTGTCAAAAATTAGTTACCCATATATGTGGCCTATTTCTGGGCTTTCAATTCTGTTCCATTGGTCTATCCATTTTTCTGCCAATAGTATAGTTTTGATTGCTGCTGCTTTGTAGAATAGATTGAAGTCAGGGAGTGTGATACCTCTGGCTTTATTATTTTTTCTCAGAGTGTTTTGGCTACTCAGGGGCTTTTTTGGTTCCATACAGATTTGAAGTATAAAGTATATTTTAAAATAATAATAATGCTATTCTTCCAATCCATGAACATGGAATATTTTTCCATTTCTTTATGTCTTCTTAAATTGTTTTCAATGGTGTCTTATAATTTTCAATATAAAAAGGAGGTCTTTCACCTCCTTTTTAAAATTTATTCTCAGGTATTTTATTCTTTTTGTTTTGATTGTAAATGAGATTGTTTTCTTCATTTCTTTTTCTAATATTTTGTTATAGAGGAATGCAACAAACTTTTGTGTGTTGATTTTATATTCTTCATTTTATTGTATTTGTTTATTATATCTAAGTTTTTTTGGTGGAGTCTTTAGGATTTTCTATAAATAGAATCATGTTGTCTGCAAATAGTGACAGTTCTACTTCTTCATTCCTAATTTAGGTGCCTTTTATTTATTTCTCTTGCCTAATTGCTCTAGGACTTCCAGTACTATGTTGAATAACAGTATGAGAGTGGGCATCCTTGTCTCATTCCTGATATTAGTGGAAAGGTTTTCAGTTTTTCACCATTAAGTATGATGTTACCTGAGAGCTTGTCATATATGGCCTATATTATGTTGAGGTACTTTTTTTCTGTATCCATTTTATGAGTATTTTTATCACAAATGGATGTTGTATCTTGTTAAATGCTTTTTCTGCATCGATTACAAGCATATGATTTTTTAAATTATTGACACTTGGTTCAATTGTTTTCATCTTTTCTTTTGTTAATGTAGTTAACAAATTGATAGATTTGTGGATGTTAGACCACCTTTGCATCCCTAGAATAAACTCCATTTGATCATGATGTATGACCTTTTTAATGTATTGCATTTGATTTACTAGTATTTTGTTTAGAATTTTTCATCTATGTCCATCAGTGATATTGGCCTGTAATTTTCTTTGTGTGTGTGTGTGTTGCCTGGTTTTGGTATTAAAGGTTGGCCTCATGAAATGAGTTGGAAAGTATTCGCTCTTTCTCAGTTTTTTGGAAGAGGTTGGAAAGGACTGGATTTAAATCTTCTTTGATGTTGGGTAGAATTCATCAGTGAGGCAATCTGGTCCTGAACTTTTGGTTTGGGAGAGGTTTTTGATTACTGTTTCAGTATTCTTACTAGTGACCAATCTATTTAGGTCTTCCACTTTTTCATGATTAGGTCTAAGAACTTTGTATACTTATAAGAATTTGTTCATTTCTTCCAGGTAATCAAATTTGGAGGCATGTAGGTAGCCTTTCACAGTATTCTTTTATAATCCTTTGTATTTCTGTGGTGTCCATTGTAACTTCTCTTTCATTTCTGATTTTACTTATTTTTCTTTTTTTCCTTAGTGATCTTTCTTTTTGTTCTCTATTTCATTTATTTCTGCTGTTTTTATTATTTCCTTCCTTCCTACTGAACAAAGGGGCTTCGTTCATTCTTCTTTTTCTTGGTCTTTATGGTGTAATATTATATTGTCAGTTGGGATTTTTCGTTTCTTGAGATAGGCCTGCAAAGCTATAAACTTCCCTCTCAGTATTACTTTTGCTGTATCCCCAAAATGTGTTTTCATTTGTCTCTATGTATCTTTTGGCCTCTTATTTCTTCTTTGACCCAATAGTTGTTCATTAGCATGCTGTTTAATCTCTACATTATCTGTAGTTTTTCCAGCTTTCTTCTTGTAGATAATTTTCAGTTTCACAGTATTGTGGTTGGAAAATATGCTTAGTATGATTTCATTTTTAAATTTATTGAGACTAGTGTTGTGCCCTCAACATGTGGCCTATCCTTGAGAATGTTCTGTCTGCATTTAAGAAGAATGTGTATTCTGTTGTTTGGGATGGAATGCTCTATAAATATCAATTAAGACATTTGGTCTAATGTGTCATTTAATGCTGGTATTTCCTTATTGACTTTCTGTCTAGATTATCTATTTATAGCTGTCAATGGGGTATTCGTGTCCCCTACTTTAATTGTATTTTTGTTCGTTTCTCCCTTTAGGTCTGTTAGTAATTGCTTTATATAACTTGGTGCTCCCAGGTTGGGTGCATATATAGTAATGTGTTATATCTTCTTGATGAGTTATCTCCTTTATCATTATAAAATGTTCATCTTTGTCTCTTGTTACCTTTTTTATCTTGGAGCCTATTATATCTGATAGAAGTACTGCTACACCCTTTTCTCTGGATGCCATGTGCTTAGAGCAGCGGTTCTCAACCTATGGGTTGCCAACCTGTGGGTCGCGACCCCTTTGGGGGTCCAACAACCCTTTCACAGGGGTCACCTAAGACCATCAGAAAATACATATACAGTGGTTCTCAACCTTCCTAATGCCATGACCCTTTAATACAGTTCCTCATGTTGTGGTGACCCCCAACCATAAAATTATTTTCGTTGCTACCTCATAACTGTAATTTTGCTACTGTTATGAATCGTAATGTAAATATCTGATATGCAGGATGTATTTTCATTGTTACAAATTGAACATAATTAAAGCATAGTGATTAATCACAAAAACAATATGTAATTATATATGTGTTTTCCGATGGTCTTAGGCGACCCCTGTGAAAGGGTC